CTTAGCTGAGAGCTGCACGTGTGGGGAAGCAGACAGGGAAARACACAATACACAGAAGATGTCTTCAAAACCAGTTTGTTGGACCTGCAGCACTGGTCTGGCTCGTTTCTTGGCTGGCAGAGGAATCACACTCTGCGGTGTCTGATGAAGGTCATCACTGCCTTGGGGAGGATCCAGATSAGGTCCTCATCCTGTATCTTTTCTTCCAGGGAATTCCTACTCATCCCTGGGATTTCCTTTCTGTGGTGAATAGGTCACAATGTGTCTCTGTTGCTGCAAAGCAAGAGTTCACAGCTGCTAAATCCACCCAGGACTGAAATACTGAAGGCACAGAAATCCCAGCAGCCCAGGGAATGGAATGGAATGGAATGGAATGGAATGGAATGGAATGGAATGGAATGGAATGGAATGGAATGGAATGGAATGGAATGGAATGGAATGGAATGGAGGCCAGAAGAAGAAAGTGGGGGGCATCAGAGCAGAGGTTAAATGCTGGGATAACTTGGTGAGCAAAGAGAAGCAGCAGCAAATTGTATTTACTGTCCCATGGCAGGCAGCAGGGAAGGTGTGACGGAGAGAAAAAGAACACAAGGCGGTCTCATCGGAAAGCAGCCCCTGCTGACTCACTGGCTGAGTCACAGCCTTGCCCAGCTTCTATTCTTTTTCCAATCAAGGAAACAGCGACTTCCCACAGACTTCTTTTAAGGCTGGTTTGGATGCTGAGCATTCCTGCACCAAGTTTCCACTCTTGCCAATCCCCTGCGCCCTTCCATATCTGTTTCCCAGCGGGAGGCACAATCCTKCAAAGCACACAGTGTCCTGAGGGAGGAAACTGTGCTGTGCTGCTGTGGCCTCTCCAAAGCAGAGACGGGATTTACTGCTGATCGGCCATGCAAGCTGTGCCTCAGATGGCCAAAGACAGTCTGCCATAGGAAGGAAGGCAAGGGCAAAATTCAAGCTGGGAGATTTCYATTCTGGCACTGAACCTCTGCCCTGCTGGGGAGAATGCTCACCTTCAGAGCACTGCTTTGAAAGAGGAGATTGCATACCTTCTTCTGTACTTTAAGAGTGGGCAGAAGACAGCTTACAGTGTGAGACACAAAAACTCAGGAATTACAATTGCTTCAACCAAATTCCTTTCTGGATTCAAAAAAACCCAGTGAAAATCAACAAGTAAGAGTAATGGTACAGATGGAAGAAAGGGGAACCAGATACCAAAGAATATACATAAGAAGATTTCAAGAGCAGAAAAATGACACAGGAAACAAGAAAAAATCCCAACACTGGCAAGGCTAAAAGGAGTTTTTAAAGTCCATTAGGAACATAAGCAATCTTCATAACACTACAGGCCAAGAAGTAGATGAGAAAAACATTAACAAGGCTCCAAAAAGGCACAAGATTTTTAGAAATGTTTTTGTTCTCTTTCAGGACAAAATGTCTTTTGCAGTCTTGCCATGATCTTAGAGAATGACCAGCACTTTGATGAGATTTACATCATAAAGCATTGGGATAACCAAAGAATCTTGGCCTGCTGGTGTGATCCACAAGCAAATACAAAATTGCACTAAGAGTATGTACAGGTACCACAAAGAATTTGGGACACTAGCTAAGAGGCTATGCCAGTGACACCAGCAAGGAATTTATTTTTAAGACAGATGCCGGTGACACAGACATATATATTTATTTGTCGCAGCTCAAAGACCGCATGGAATTTTCTAATCCAGAAAATGACAACCGTGAGAAGGATTCAAGGGTCACCATGGACATGTACCTGGATTCAAGACCCCAGTGCAGTGGTGTGGGTAAAACGGACAGTGTGACCTTCTGATAATCAACCATATAGAAAGCTGTGGGAGGAAAGTGGTTTTATGTCTCTAGTTCTCATTGATGGGGCTGATGCTGAAAAAGTTCTTATATTTTTGTTGTTGATAGATGGGATAGAGAGCAAGAAAAAGCCCTCAAATAGTTGGTGTGAGGATGAAAACAGTCCTAAGACTAGAAGAGTTCATGCTGCTTATCTTATCAAAAGGCAGCAGCAAGACTAGATTACAAAGTATAAATATCTAGTGAAAACACAGGTTTTAAAATAATCCTAGAAAGGCACAAAAGGCATTCATGGTTGGAAACAAAGCCAATTGAAATGAAAAATAAGGTGCAGTTTTAAACTGTGAGGATAAGTAATCACTGGAGGAAATGATCAAGAGAAGTGGCAACTTCTGCTTTTCATGTTTTCYATGCAGTACACAATATCTTTCTAAGGGCTGTCACAACCAAATTGCTTAGCAGAGATTGGAGCAGCTATGGGAAGGGGGAAGATCTGGGGTTTTGTTATTGTCTGATATTCACACTATCTGATGACATTTTAATGCATAATTCAGGAACACAGGAATGCGCACTTGCCACCTTTACCACTGAACTTGAGTGRTGCTCCCTTCTACATCCCTGCTCTTTGGTGGATCTTTAACCCTGTCCCACATGCTTGGCTAGTCAAAAACACAAGGAGAAAGTCCCTAAACGTCAAAGCCTGCCTGGTGGGACAATAATTCTACACATGCAGAGTGAGCCCTACTTGGGAAACAGCTCTGGGATGTCCCCAGAGGGACTGAGAGGCTGATGGTAATATTGATGAGTGTGGACATGCTCTGAGAATAATTAYGGGATGAARGCTCTCTGAGCAYTTSAGCTGGGGAATAGTCCTTGTTAGGYTCTGGAGAGAGCAYAGTACTAAACTTCTTACACTAAACTGAATCCAAACAAGTTCCAAGATTAGAAAAATCTCAGTATGTTTAGAGATCTTTAAACCCAAAAGTTGTGGACCTGTGAAGATTAGATGCCTCTGCAACAAGACTGAGTAGGTATTTTTAGGAGTCTGGATTCAGGCACCACCATTTCACCAATATCCTTCTTTAGTGCTCAAGTCTTCCAAGGAAACMAAGCCCTTGCTCATAAAAAACTATTTGAAGAATCTCCCAATCTGTTCAGAGCAGGGACTGTGCTATTTTTTGACACACAATGGAATGCTCACATTTTCCTCTAACCCAAGAGCAGGAGAGATCCCTTCAGTTCTAGAGATCTTTAATCAAGGCTTGATACCTTCTGCCAGATGGATATTGCAATTGAACAGTAGGGACTGCCTTCAGGATATGTTACTGAGCAAAATGTAACTCTCTGATGCACCAGGACAGTCAAATTAGCAAAACAGTGCCTCTTGATTTAAAGTCCACAGATTTATAATCCAGGAATAACACCCACCATCACAGAATGATGCACTCAATTCAGGCTGCTGTGCTCTGCAACCCAACAMCACCAAATTCCTGAAGCCAGACTTCTCTGCAAGAGAAGATCTTGATCTTGAGTTTAAACTGCCCGTAGTGGAAGCAATCATAAACCATTTCACAGGGTGTCAGTAGAGGCTCGCAGAAAATGCCGTGGTGGATATTTGATTACTGGCAGGTGTAGCTCTTAGGACACGACACAGTAATTACTGCCACTATTTACCCAACTTCAAAGTGAAGCTTAAATTGCTTAAAATAATTGGTTTCTTTCTATACTAAAGGCCCACTTCTTCCAAGTGCTYCCTCTGATGGCTCGTTGACCCAAGGGGTGCAAATTTCCATTGTATAGTTGCTGTAGCTCCCTGGAAAGCAATATCTGTGGGACCTCTTGTGGGCTCTCTTCTAAATTGCACGTTGGGTGCCAAGCACTCAGGAAAATGTTTCCGTGTTAATTTGTAGATACATCAGAGAGCCTTTCACTTCTCATGCCTTCATGTGGATTCACAGAAGTTTGATAATAAAGTACATCCTAAAGGAACAATAAATACAAGGAATGAGATGCATTTTAAGAGGGGGAATTTAATTCCTTTGTGATGGCCACTCGTGCTTTGGCTTCTTTACACAGACAGCAATGATTATAGAAACACAGAACAGTTTGGGTTGGAAGGGACCTTAAAGATCATCTAGTTCTAACCCCTCTGTCATRAGCAGGGACACCKYTGTCAGRAAAATTAATCCACAAAYGCCAGARGTTTACRTCCAAAAAGGAGACAGAGGAGTCCTGTAACTATTCGAATAMAGGGAGAGGCCATGGGACACTTCCATGCTGTCTCTCAAATTGCTGGAGGATGCAGCCTCCTTTTATCCTGATTTCCCAGCTGCATTTGCCTCTCTCTTTCCCCATTGCCTGAAGTGCTTGAGAGGTACAGACTTCCCGAATCACCTAATAACAGAGACTCCCACCTAATGTGCATTCCCCACCCCCCCCCCCTTTTTTTTTCTTTGTTTCTGTTCTTTTTTTTTCCCCTCTAAATACAGGGACTTAGCACAGCCTTGGATGAGTAACATTCTGTGTCAATTAGTGGAATTCCTATTGAATTTATGGCTCCTCCCATTCCTCCTTTCACCTATCAGTATCTGGCCTTATCTACCAGCAAGCCCTAGAGTTTTTTTATAAAGACATCTGACATCTCCCTCTCATTCCCATCGTCTATTTTATGCCGAGGAATGGTTCCCGTAATTTCAAGCGGGGTCCGGGGGAGGGGTGGGAGCCAGGGGATTCCCCACAGGAATGGGGCACAATCAGCTTCTCGCTACAGCCTGGGCCAGTGCCTCACAGTAAAAGCGTCACAGTAAAAGATGTCTTCCTTATATCCAATCTAAATGCAGTGTATAAACACCTACACCATGCAAAGGATTCTTTACAAGAGGAGCAGTGTCATAGATACGACTTTCTGCCTTACTGTCAGACTTAGGCTGATGTTGCTAATACACACCCCCGAGTAAAGAGAATGCCCAAGGTACTCCCTTGTTTCTGTTCTCCCCTATTATCCCCACAAGGCTCCCAGCCCGCACTCCCCAGCCCCATCCCTCCCTGCCCCAACACCGACAGCAAAGCCGCCATTGTTACCGAGGCAGCCACCGCCCCAGCGCGCACTTCCGCCCCGGCACCATGATGGCGGAGACGCTCGCGCCCCTCTCTATGGTCAGCGSTCCGTGTCTATGCCCCGCCGCAGTGCACTGTGGGTGTCTGGCGGAACTATGGYGGCGGTGTAGGCAAGGCTGCGCAGGGCGGAGAAGGCCGCAGTGTGAGTACTCGGGAGAGCGGCGGGGAGGCCGCGGGAGGGCCCTGAATGGGGAGAGGCAGCCCTGGGGCAGGGGTGTCGGGGGGGGAGGCGGGCCCAGCGAGGGGATGGGCTGTGGCGGGGCCCCACGCTGCAGTTCGGGCTTCCCGAATTCAGGCCCCGCTGAGCGGGCGCAACCCGGCAAGGCCGAGGCAATTCACCTGCTGGCCGAGCTGGTCACTCCCTCTTGGCCGATAAATCATGGTAACACTAMAGAGGCTTCTTCAGGTATTTCTGAAACCTGAGAGGTTTCAGGTTGAGTCTGGCTCCTTTAAGATCAACTTGAATACAGATTGACATAGTTCCCTGAGGAGCGCTGAGACAGGTCGAGTTGTTTAGCCTGGAGAARAGGAGGCTCAGGGGGACCTTATCTCTACAATTACCTGAAAGGAGGTTGGAGCCAGGTGTGGGTTGGCCTCTTCTCCCGGGACAAGACGAAGTGGCCTCAGGTTGTGTCACTGGGGGTTTACTTGGACRTTAGGAAGATTTTCTTCACAGAAAGGGTGTTTAGATACTGGAATGAGCTGCCCAAGRAGATAGTGTAGTCACTGTCCCTGGAGGYGTTTAAGGAAAGACTGGGTGTTGGCATTTAGTGCCCTGGTCCAGTTGACAAGGTGATTTTCGGTCACAGGTTGGGCTCAACAGTCTCAGAGGTTTTTTCCRGCCTGATTAATTCTGTAACTTAAGAGAAGGAGGGATGCTTTCCAAACAATTTGTTAAATGCTTCCTGAAACTAYACCAGATCTTGTTCTTCACTTGATTTTATGGATCCCCCCTGTTACATACAATTAGCACGGATAAGTTATGGGAGCAAGTGACTTTCTTGGATCATGAGTCTGGCAGAGTCAGTGCCAAGAGAGAGCTAAAATGTCTCGTTGACCTTCAGCTGACTTGCACAGCATCACTGAAAAGTGTCATCTSCCCTTGATTAACAAGCCACAGCTAATTATTTTTCTCTTTTTAAAGGTGTTTCAATATGTTAATTTTATTTTCTGAATAGTGGTTCAGTGGCAGTAACTGTGTTTTGCGTGACGGGTGTTACTTTGAGCCGCACATTGTATTGTCATTTTGACACTGAAGTTGGGGTGTTTTGTGCTCTCATTAAAAGTGACAAAAGAGCAAAATAGGCAAAGTGTAAATAACTTCTGTTTGTCTACCACAAAAGCATATGAAATTATGTCTTGGTTTTTTATTTTGCTTTCTAATATTTTTAACATGTTTTCTTGTCGTCTTTCAACATTAAACCTTCTGTTTGGTAGGACTGATACCTTTGTGTATCTCTGCACTCTGWCTCCTGCCCTAAATATCTTTAGGCTGTGATTAGTGGATATGTGTGTCTTGGTGAAGCAGGAATTAGAATAATTTCAGATTGTAGATTTAAGATAGATTGTCCTGAGTTGGAAGGGACGCACCAAGATCATCAAAGTCCYGSTCCTGATCCTRCACAGGACACCSYAAGAATCACCACGTGCCTGAGAGCATTGTCCAAATGCTTGTTGAACTCTGWCAGGCTGRTGCTGTGACCACTTCCCTGGGGAGYCTGTTCCAGTGCCCAGCCACCCWCTGGGTGAAGAACCTTTTCCTGACATCCARCCTAAACCTTGCCCTGACAAAGCTTCATGCTGTTCCCTTATGTCCTGATGAGTGATCACGCTGTGTTTTCTGGCACTGATTAACCATCTCAAACTCTTGGCTGGCACAGTGGTTTGGGCTTACAGGGTCTTCAGATCCCATCAGGCAGTGCTGAACACAGTGTGTGCTCACAGGKTGTCTGTGTGGCTGAGGCTGGTTGGAGCCTGTTTCATTTGCACAAAAGAATTGATAGTAGAAATTTGGACATCTGCTGCTTTGATTTTTAGGACATGCTGAGTTCCTGCAGTTTCTAGAGGAGAGCTGGTGACAACTTCTCTATTTATCCCAAGTTTTTTAACTTGCACTTCATTTACATAAAGGTCAAGCTTTGTGCCACCAGTGAAGCATTGGTCTCACCCTTTAAGAAGGTTCTGCTGGTCAGCTGGTGCTCTGCATGGCTCAGCTCCAAAGGACTGTGCTTAGCATTGATGATAGGATACTGGAGARCAGAACAGGGTCTTGGTGAGGGCTGGAGTGCTCAGAGGTTGCCAGATCTTCATCAGTGGGTAATGACCAACACCATCCTAGGCACGCTGTGGTTTGTGTCAGCCAACATTGCTAGTGGTGGTACCTAGCAGTGGTCTGGGGAGTAATGAAGGGGTCATCCCAATAGGCAGTAATTTTTGACTGCAATTTTTCAGGAGGGGAAGGAGTTTAGTTACAAAACTGTACTGCTTGCTTTAAGGATGGAAGATGAGCTCCTAGCCAATTTKATTTACTTTACAAATGTTGCTTCATATGTAAGTTAGAGTCCGTGTATCATCTTTCAAGCATATTGGAAAAGACTTCATTTTGAAACCTGAATAGATTCTGTCAATAAAAAGGTACTTAAATATTACTTTTTATGAGCTGAGTGTCAGCTGGTATACTGTAGTGTACTGTAGCTTCTACAGTTCCAGGAGCAAAGTAGCTTTTAATGAGTGTCTTTCACTGTAARTTGTAGTAATAACTTGTTTTCTCCCTTGATTCTGTAGGAGTGAAGATGACGACAGCAGCAAGGCCAACATTTGAGCCTGCAAGAGGAGGAAGAGGAAAAGGTGAAGGAGACTTAAGCCAGCTGTCYAAACAATATTCCAGCAGGGATCTTCCGTCTCATACTAAAATCAAATACAGGTTAGTACTGGGTTTTTGGGTCTTAGGGACGAGCTGGCTGGGAATGATTTTTTGTTATGAGTGGTACTTTAAAATTCTCAGTAGATGTTGATGTGCTTGACATTGAGCAAGGTCCAGAGATTGTGCAGCAGTGCTGCACATTGGGCTGAAAGTCTTAAAAGCAGAGCTAGAAGCAAAAATGCACTGCAGGTAATTTGGGGAGGTTTAATTTTAGTGATCATTTGTTGCTGCCTATGGACTTGAATCACCAGGAGAAGATGAGCATTGGAGACTGAACATGTCCAGCAGTGAACTGGGAAGCAAGTTGCCATTGGGACTGAACCACAGGGAGTATGGTCACTTGCAGAGCAAAATGAGATGAGAGAAGCGAAGTTGAGCACATCTTAAAAGCAGGAAAACCATATCATATATTTGGCAAAGRATCACTTAGTAAGGGCATTGAGAAGGGACAGGGAAACCCTGGAATAGCACTCAGGTAGTGGTATGTGTTGGACGAGCTGATGTTAAACTGCAGCTGATGTTGAGCTGCAGGTCATTCGCACAGGTCCTGGGAGAAGAAATTTCTTTAACCAGTGAGAAAAATAATACAATATTAGGAATCTTTTGCTATGTTTGAAATRCATAAGAAATCTTTAGCTTTTTTAAAGATGTAATAAAATCTGGAGTCAATGTGATAGAATTYAAACATGTTGACCTAAAAGTGCTCATTTTATCTAACTGATATTAACTCCTGTCAGTGAAATCACTGTTAAAATTTTATTTTTGCACTTCTTTGTGTACATGCTTACCCTGTCACCTTTTCCCTCCTCTCCCTTTGGTTTTTAAGAATATGTGTTCATAAGGAAGTTGGARTGTTTTGGAGAATACCAATATAAACAGCATGGAAAGTGCTGTCAGATGCATTTTGCTGTTTTGGGGAAAATTGCTGGTGGTTTGTTTTCTAAACAAAAGTGTGCTTTGGAACACCAGTCTGTGGTTTTGGAAGGGGTCTGTTGGAGCAGTTATGTATGGGAATATACAATGGATGTTTTAACAAATCCCTCCAGTTGTGTTAGGGTCGAGATAGGGAGGGAGCACTGAGTGTCTTCCGATTTTTCTCCCAAATATCTGTTACAAAGTTGTCTTTGTTAAGCTGCCAGGACTGCATCACWGCAGGAAAAGTCCAGTTTTTCAGTCCCACTCATGTTTGCTTGTATGGCACTGGGTTTGGGCAGATTTTGCAGCTTGAACAGGGATTCCAAATTCAGGTTTTTAATTACAAAAGGAAATTAAATACTTCACCATAAAGACAGGCTGTGCACAAAATGTGTTTATAATGGCTCAAGTCTGGGTTTCTTCCAGGTACTCTTCTAGCACTGAGTTCACAGAGAGGTGAAAGCAATTGCTTCTTCTTTTTATTCACTGATTCTTTTCAAGATATCCACAAAAATTTCAGCAGTCTTTAAGTGGAACTGAATGTGACTCAGATATATGTAGTTCATTGCTTTTTGCCAGTGTGGTTTTACATAAAARAGGGGTAACCATATATTTACAAGGTGTTTCACTAAAACTAATGTTTTGCCTATTCTCCCAACTTTTCTTTAATGGTCATGATCTGGTCTCAGAGAAGAAAAGGTTTAGTCTTGGTCTTACCTGTAAGCCTTAGAGACAGGGTTTGCAGCAGCAACTTTGGGTGGTAAATCAATGAAGAAAGGTGACCCTAATACTTGTGGATGTCTGCTAGGCCACTGGAATTGGACTGCTRGAGAATAGAATATTTCAGCATAATGACTACAGACAGATGTAGTCATTTTGTTTTGTAGGAATTTGAGTAGGGTCTTACCATTTATTCAAGAGCCACCAGAAGGACCAGGAGCGTATGGCGTGGCAGGTCTGTGTGTGCAATGTATACACACACGGGAGGGCTCTGCTGAAGGGAGAATAAACATACATTTACATGGAACCCAGTTCTTGTTCTCTATCTGGGGTGTCCTTATCTGTTCACCCCAGGATTTACTGGCCTTGGTGAAAAAACTGCTCGCGGCTGCATATTGTCAAACTTCAGGCTTTTCCTCCTGTTTGTTGTTTTAGACAGACCACTCAGGATGCTCCTGAAGAGGTGCGTAACCGTGATTTCAGAAGGGAGCTGGAGGAGAGAGAGCGGGTTGCTGCAAGAGAAAAGAATAGAGACAGACCAACCAGAGGTAAAAACCAAGAAACAAAAATCTTAACAGCCTTTGTGAAACAKTGCTCTTGCATGAAATTTGGTGTTGTAAGAAGTTTGCAGTTGCAGACAGCATGTCATGAGAGTAGAATTTAGGGTATTGGTCTGATAGTTCAGAGCTGTTGACCTGCAAGGGAATGTCCACTGGCTTTCAKGCTGGCTTCATGCTAGCAGAAATCCAGGCCAGCCAGTGGAAAAGTGTGCCCAGCTGATACAGTATCATTGTAATGAATTGGCAACTAGTGTGTACATCTAATAAAGGGACTTTTTTTTGTGCTTGGGCCAGCAAGACAGGAAGGAGAAGGGATAATGACTCATTTTCTACTGTTACCGATCCAGTGTAACAATAAATCTGTTTGGACATATGCAATTTTGTTCGGATATGGTGAAGTAATAACAAAATCAAAGAGCATTTTGAGCAGTATTCATTTTTAATATTAAGTTCAGCAAAAGTTAAGTACTTTAGGTTTAGGTGTGAACGTGTTGCATAGCTTTGGAATTCACAGAAGAAAGTAGATGTGGTTTGATCCAAACTACCCAACAGTAATGCTTTGGCGTGGTCCTAAATGGGAACCCTCCAACTGGATATGTATAAGAAGAGTACTTCTCCACAGCTTTTCTTTCTGCTTGAAATAATGACTTTAAGAAACTTCTGGAGGCCAATTTGTAAATTTGAGATGTTATTGCTGCTCTCGAGGCTACCTGCAGGGAGGAATTAATGTGGGCATTAAGAYTGAGAAGTGAGGGAAAAGTAAAGCATAAGCTTGTTCCTCTTACTTGAATGCAGGACCAGTTGTGAAGATTTTTGCTTTCTGACATTAGATGCTGTTAAATGAAGTGACTTAGTCACTTTTTCTTTTAACTCTTACACCACAGAACATACAACATCATCTTCTGTGTCTAAGAAGCCTCGGCTAGAYCAGATTCCTGCAGCAAATCTTGATGCAGATGATCCTCTTACTGATGTATGTATCCTYTCTGTCTTCTTTCATTTCATTGCCCTGCCTTAAGGATTTGCTGTTAATGGAATATGCATTTTAGGTTGCCTAAAGATTTCAGACAAATTCCAGCGTATTTTCCTTTTACAACTTCTGTACTGTGGTGAAAGTCCAGATTGTTTCAGAGGATTCTGGTCCATGCTGTAGTGGTATTCTTGGAAAACACACAAAATCTAGGGAACTAAAAATACCACTTACAGTATGGGGAATTACCACTGGGTTAGTTAGAATTCCCCAAAGGTATAACTTTTGCCATACCTGCAAATGACTGCATGTGCWACAAATGCTTGCCCTTGACTCCTCTACTTATGCTGACATCTAGGAGTTAGGTCAAAGACTTGACAATAAGATCAGTGGTTTTTAATCCTGTGGTATTTGGTCCCAGGAGTATTGGACAGAATAATCAAGCACACTGTTATGATGACTTTTATCTTTTAGTTTTTTTACAGGCTTATACTGTTATTAGAGAGTGATTGGGGACAGTAATTCTCTACAGTCTGTCAGTTACATAGTGTTTTAATTGTAGTCATCCCAGAAGTACAAACATATTTGACTTTACTATAAAAGAGAAAAAAACCCTTTTGTATTGTATTTGCTGCTACCCAAGTACTTCAGAAACCAGCCAGCAGTAAATTGTAGCTTTGGCTGGGCAGACCAGGGTTGTTTTTTTTAAATTAAATGAATTACCTGATTCTTGCCTTCCWTTTGTTAATGTTAGGAAGATGATGAAGATGAGGACTTGGAAGACAGTGATGATGATGACACTGCAGCTCTTCTGGCTGAGCTGGAAAAAATCAAGAAAGAGCGAGCTGAAGAACAGGCTCGGAAGGTAAAATCTTACCCATTAAAGAGCACCTGTTTTTTGTGAACTGGTGTCTGTTAAAACTAGTGTGCCTTAAGTACTTAGGATGAGTAAGAGCTGGTAAACAAAGTAAGTKCTGTTCAAACCTCCTCTCAGGTACAATGGATTTGTTCTATCTAATAATTACTAAGATCTTCTTTCTTTAGTAGATGTACTGAATGTTTACTCACTGAAACATTTTATTCACTTTGCTTACACTTTGTAGGGGCAGTGAGTCAAGATAATCTTGCATGCATAATCTAGCTTTTATGAAACAAATATTAATTTTATTTATGAGATAAAGATGTGTGCTTTTTGATGCTACTTCTTACGACTGCAGGTTTTATACAGCAGTTGTCCTTTCACAGCATTGGTGCTGTGTTACCTTGGCAAGGAGCACCAGTTKGGACTACAAGACCAGAATGATTTTCATGTAATTGTACACAGGCGAATTCGTTTGAAAAACAGGTCTGCAAAATCGAGCAATAATACAGCAGTCTTTTCACAACTGGGAAACTCAGTTCACGTGTAGCTTTCATACCTCTTTATAATCTCTCTTTCTACATTCAGAAATACCATTTTCTCCCCTTGAAAGGGAAGGAAGGGCCCTGCAGTGGCAGTGTTTTCCCTTGAGTGGGATTAAATCCTATGCTCTTGGTGCTATTACYTCATTGGTGTGAGAGAGATTGTTGGGATGGAGTGCACTAACAAAGTCCCTAACTGTTGATTTGACTTCTGGAGACCATTTCTGGGAGTAGTCTGTGTTGTCAAATTTACTCAWATTTTAGGATTGTATTGGGTACTGGCTCTAACACTGTATTGCAGCACAGTTTAAAGTCCAGGTTTTGATCTGCACTCCTGAAATGCTCTCCTCTGGTGGTGCAATGGAAGTGGTGGATATGTGCAGCATTCCCTCATCTGCTTTTACGAAGTGCTTTCTTTTTTTTGACTTGGGCTTAAATAATTTTAGTGTTTTTGTAACATTGCTTCCTTCATCTGGAGTAGTTTTTTGTATGTTTTTATAAGGATATTCTCCATTGGTGTAAAACAAAACAAAAAAACCCAAAGTGAACAAGCAAACAAAAAATCTGTCAGAAAACCAAGCCACCTGTCACCTTTGTATAGATTATCTGAGATTTTTTTTTTAAATATGCTAAACAAACACATTAGATGCTGATCAGGAGKCTATTCAAAGGCTGCTGCTCTGACAACTTTATGTTTTAGTGCCTCTGAACTACTTGTAACCTTCCCTGTAACTTAACATACACGTTTGTAGTTTAATGCTTTTCAGGAATGCTGAGCGGGCAGGGAACAGGACAGAGCTTCCGGCAGGCACTAGGAATAGGTAGGAGAGAATGTTTTTACTGCTGTTGGTAGCATTGTAGTTGCAAGACTGTTCTTGCCTAACAATATTAAAATTTACCTTCAGAATCAACAAGGCYTGTAAAACCAATGAGTTCTGCAGTTTTGCATTTAAATAGTATAGAAGGCTTAAAGCTGTACCATGCTGCTTCAGTGCAGAAATTGTGCTATAGAAGGCTGTTTCTACTTGATTCCCCATCTGGCCTGTGAGAGGTCTCCTACATTAAATTATGTCTGAAAGCATCTCTTGTCTCTTTGTCTGGGCATTTGAGGCACATCACATAGGAATGAAATTGTCTTTTGCAGTAACAACATGGTGATAATTATGTAAAATGTACTAAACTACAAAGTAAGTGTAACCCTGTGTAGGAAAGATTGTGACTYCTGCTGTCCTTGTGCTGTTCTTAAAATGAAATCTTATGTCTCTGGATTTTTTTCACTTTGCTTGATAGTGAAATTATRCATCAAGATTAAACAGCATATCTTGTCACATTTCAGAGTAGAAAACTTGCATTAGGAAAATARTGGTTAGCAAAATGAAGCACAGACAACCAAGTGTCTGCTTCTTTTATCCGGTGTGGGAAGTAGGATCATTACCATCTCTGTGAAATTCTAATTTTTTCACTAGAGGGTGCTAAAAGCCATGAAGTATTTGGGACAGCACTTGTTTTTTGTATTGCTGTCTCTTAGTAGGTATGTGTTACCTTCATGGATGTTCTCCTTACCCCAGCAGCAAGGTCTGTRATGTCCAATGCTATGTGCATACTGAATACAATCATGTCATTTATTTGCAATAGTGCCCACTGTTGCACATGCAGAATCTAGACCTACATGGTTCATAATTTCACTGGTTAGTGATAAGCAGGCTCTCTTTAAAATTGATATATTTAGAAAATAGAGGGTGCTCTACAGGTGCATGGAATTTTATTTTCCTGTGTGTTTTTGGAGAATAGGAAACAAAGACTGTGTTGATGGAAAAAGTAAGAGCCAGGGTGGGGCACAGCCTTGGAAAGAGTCYTTAGGAGTAAGGGTCCTCTTTGGAAAGATGCCTTATGTATGTTGGCTTTGGTGATGCAATCTGTTTAGATTATGCCTTGTTTTCCACAGCTTTGAAACATGCTGTTACTGGCAAAGCATTTTAGACTAATTTTATATAAATTCCTTTCTCCTTTGATACATGGAATTTCAYGTTACTGTGTACTGCAAGCCACAATTTAGACATAGTTTTGTAAGTAACCTTGTATTAATCATTCAGCTGACTTTGGGATAATATCTCGTATAAAGTCTTAACTGTGTAGTTGCTGTTAATCCTAATCCATTTACAGGAATGCTTTATCTGCTGAAATGCAGCTGTCCACAGTAAACAGGGTGGGTAAACCAGTGGCCAGACTAAGGGAAACTGCAGAGGGAGTGCCTGTTCTCTCTTTGCTCTGATCATCACTCTCAAACCCCTTTATTATACAGACAGATTAATGTGTYTCTTCTTGTGGTCTTCTTGGAACATCCAAGGGTTTTAACAAGATTAAGTGGGTAAAGTACCATAATATGTTCCAAACCTGGGCTGTATGTAAATTTTTCCCTGATGCTTTCGTTATTTCGATTTAGTMAAGTGCTAGTCCAGTTATTTTTGAGACTTCATTTAGAGTAAACTGTATTTTTGTTAATAAAATGTTTGCATCACTCTGGTGTTCATTGTTTAAGTTGTGATGAAAGGAGAATGGCTCCTTTCCAAAGCATCCCTGGTGAAATAGCAGTTAAAAACAAAATACGAGAATCTGCATTTTTACAGGGTATCCTTGTCCCTGTTAACATCCCTTATGGGAAGCACACATTTCTGTAGAAATCCTCTAAAATTAGTTTTGACAATATTAGTATTGAGAGGTTCTAATAGTTTGTCAGCCACATAAGCAATTCYTCTCAAAGTTTGTTAACTCTCAGAATGCTTAGGTTCCCTTAAATTATATAGAATCATTAAATAAATACTAAATCTTTTTAAAAAATTGTTTGAGTGTGGGAGTCCTCCTGACTTCATCTACAGTTTTAATCTCAGATTGTTTCTAGTAGACACTATACTGACCAGAAAATTCCAGTTTTGCAAACCATTTCTGTGGAATAAGTCTAGATCTATTCCACTGTAGAATAGATGTAAATACAGTTGTAAAACTGTACAAACAGTAGGTCTGTGTCTGTGTTAACCATCCATGGATAGGTTTCAGGAAACATTTCAATATTCTAAATTCAGCTTTACAATGGTCTTGTTTTTCAATTTTCAGGTGCTTTCTTAAAAAGTAATTTGAAATAATTAAGAAGAAAATTCAAGCTTTATGTGTGAATGTTTGTGTGCATTCCAGCAAAGTTGTTTTAATATCCAGTCTTTTTTTTTTGCTTAGCTGAGAGTGGACTTAAACTTTTTGATTTGTTTTTGTAACAGTTTTGTTTCACCAAGAATTTMTCTATAACTGAATGTATTACTTTAAACCTTTTCACTGAAATCTTAAGGGTCTGACTAAGACCAGAAGATCAAATTGATGACTAAGAAAGAATTAGTAAAGAGGCAAAAGCAGATGGCAGAGTCTTCATTCAGTGTTTGAGACACTCCAGGAACACTTGACCCTTGCCAAGAACTAATGATAACATCCCTTATGGACAAAATACAACAAAGCTGCCATTGTGATTACTTGGTGCTTGTCATTTTTGAAGTTTCAGTCAATTATTTCAATCTCTGTGTTGCACAGAGTTAGTATCTTGCACAGGATCAGATCACTCTGCATTCTTGAACTCTGTTCTCTGCTGCTAAAGGCAGTGCTGTCATAGTTTATCATTCAAAAATTAGCATTTAAATCAGGTTATGTGGGTTTTTTGGGTTTTTTTACTGTTTTTTCAACTTTCAAACAACGTAGGTATTTCAGGTGTTCTTTCAGCTGCTCAACATCTATTAAAACTGAGTAGATGAACTGACTTTATTACAATGGAGTAATTTTGGGAAATTTACACTTTTTGTAAGAGTAATCTTGCTCTGTGCTAAGGGTAGGAACTGTGYTAAAAATAACTGCAGTAACAATGTTTTTCTTTACTTAGCAATCAGAAATAAATATGCCAAGGGAAGAAATTTCCAAGATTGCATCTTCCACATCTTTTATCTGACACTCTCCAGTCCTCTGCAATTGTAGTTGATTTAAGTCAACACTTTTTTTTTTTTTTTTTGCTAGCATTAATTAGCTATAGACACAATTCAATTTAGCTTGAAATGCCAAGTTATTGGGGCCAGTGTACAAGCTGTGTATCCCAGCCTGTTTGGTGGTGCATTAGAGATGCAGTCAGTAGAGCCTGGAGAGTGGTTAGTCTCCTGTGTGATAAYTGAGAGCGAGCAGAAGGGCTGTCTTGGCTCCCTGTTGTATCCTATGGGCCTCTGCCAAGAGCTGAGGTGCCTACAGCCCCATGTCTTATTGCAGGTGTCTTAACCCAGAGCTGAATTCTGTTTTTAGTCTTGCACTAGTGCTTGTATTATAACACTTCTTGAAAGTGTTATTTCAGATTTATTTTTTTTTCTATCACCACATTTTATCACTTAATGCTTTTTGTTGTTATCAGGAATCTAACTATGYCAGGCTAATTGAGGCTGAAGGATATTACATGCGTTATATCAAAGCAGATAAAAGTTAAGATTATGTGTAACATGCCTTTTTAAAATCTTAATATAGAAAGTTTGAATGTCATCTGTGTAAGGAAGTAAACTGGAGTACTGTATTCATATTTTTTAGGATTCTTAATATTGGCTTTGTCTTTCTCGAGTGATTCTGAATATTTACCATTCAAATGACTGAATGCTTTTCACTTCTCATAATGCATGGTGGAGAGTGCTGGAATCAGCAGCTTTGTAGGAATCGTTGAGATTTAATCTGAAGAAAAGGGAAGGGAAGGGAAGGGAAGGGAAGGGAAGGGAAGGGAAGGGAAGGGAAGGGAAGGGAAGGGAAGGGAAACTGCAATTCCCCCTCAAAAGGTGCTGGCTGACTCCAGTCAACTTTCCACCGTTGAAAAAACACCGTATGTGCAGTGTATTGTAGTTTTGTGTATGTCAGTGGTGTGTGGTTGCACTTCATGCATCATAAAAACCCAAACTAAAATAGTAATGTCTGGMCAGATAACGTAATGCATGATGCACAGGTTCAGTAACTTTGGTTCATGGCTGAGGTTAATATCTGAGAAGTTTGAGGATAAGACTGTGCCATGCTCTACCTACCACCTTCAGAAGAGTTCACCTGGAGTTCAGCTCTGAAATGAGAAACTGCTGCAACTGTTTGCTTATATAGACTTGGAAGAAGTTCTGTTCACAGAACCATTTTTTAACAGAGGACTATTAATTTTTTACAGTGGTCTTASTAGTGCTACCTTCTCTTGATTAGGAATTTTTGGTTTGTAGCTGCCTCATTTGCTCTCAATGTTTTTCCCAGACCTGTTGTATTTTCAAAGCCTCACTTTTAATGGAGCACTGGGGATTAAAGTTAATGATGCAKAGCCCACCTCATTTTTGACAACACAGGGGGCACTTCACATGCTTGCATCCAGCTGTAAATTTGCTAATGGTCATAAACGCTGTCTAATCACTTCCTGGGAGGTAGCTGAAGATCAGTACTGGGTTTTTTGCTTGCTTCAGTATCCAGGATTTTGCTTGGTTTCAAAGTAGTGCWTTGCATGCATGTGCTGTAAAGTAATCTGAGGGCTGCTGGGCTTCTGATGGGAACGCATGGCAACAGACTGCAGTAAATTGGATTTACTGGTTCTTGTCTGCTCCATGTTATGGGGAAGGAAGATGATAAATCAAAGACTGGCATTCTGTGAAGAAGAAACTGCATACATTTCTTGTCTCTGATCCACAGAGAAAGTATGATTTGAGTTTATATTTCTAATATGGGAGGAAATTGCTGTTCCATGTCAAATATTTTTGTTCTTCATGTTTCAATACTTATGGGTTGATAATAACTGAAGTTGGAATGCAAGTCTTAGATTTAGAGCTGTTTGAAAATTCAAAACCTTAATAGATTTGTGTTAATAACTTCTCASTGCTGTGGATTGTGTTAACCCTCCATGGATACAGTAGTAAGAGCAAGTTTTGTCAAAGCATATGTTTTAATAAGGTCATTACAGGGTTTCTCCTGAAGGTGGTCTTTGGTTTTGAGCAACCTTTAATGATCATCTAGTTCCAATTATCCYGCTGTGGGTAGGAACACCTTCCACTAGACAARTTTGGYCAGAGCTCCATCCATCCTGGCCCTGAACACTTCCATGRATGGGGCATCCATCCAGAATTTCACATATGTAATCAGTTTAATGGAAAAACATTGTAAATTGTAGATAATAATAAATACCTTAGTATTAATTAAATGTTTAGAGAACTCTGGCTAGCATCAGCATCAAGTTTAGCATTTAAACCTTGTAAACTTGAGCAGCAAGGAAACCACTTYGTCTATTGGGATCCTGTAGAAGTCCTCAGCAATGAATTTTCAACAGGTTTTTTTTTTCTTCCCAGTTTGAGAAAAAAGCCCAACCTTATGATCTCTTTGCCTTTAGTTTGTTTGATTTTTAAAAGYTAATGAGACTTCATTTCTTAAACAGAGTGTCTTCAGACCAAAAATTGAGAGCAGGAAACCCACTTAGTCATCCACATTTAAAGAATTACTTTTTCTTTTCCTTCTGATACTTTCATCAAAGAACACTCCTTGCAATATTTTTGAAAGCTTGTGGAAAATATGGAATGAATATTAAACAATAATTTTGAAGTCTGTGAACATTGAAGTCAGTAGATATGCTAATAGAGCTTGGAAGTGTGGGCAGTGAAATTACTTTGTGTTGCTTGTAGTGCATTGCTTCACTTAGTYTTGAGTTATATGCATTTGACAGTASAAGGACAAGAAAATTTGTCTGCTTCTTAATATTGAAACTTAAATAGTTTTATTTCACTGTGGGGTTCTCAATATTCTTTTTAATCGGTCCCTAGGGAAGTTGTAGTTGTAGAGCTGCTGAAAATAGAGAAGTTTCGACATGCTGTATGACTGCTTCTACCTAGTGAATATTGTATAATGTACTCTSTTTTCTCGTGAGGATAAAGAAAATATTTTAATCTGTTTACAGTTTTTAATATAATATGGATATGGTAAATCTAGAATYTAACTAAATATTTGATGGCACATCAGAGCTAAGTAGAGCAGATATGAGTGTTGCTAGTTTGACAGTTTATTAGCAAAGTTAAGCTCTGTAGGATATCTTTGCTTCTATCCTTATTCTCCTCATATGCAAGAGCCAAACACTGAAAAGTCTGAGCTAGGAATTAAAGCTCCATCTGTRTGAGTATTCAAAGCTGAATAATATGTATCTCTACCAAGTAGAGGAGAAAAGTGGCCTAGAAAAATAATATATCCATTTTTGGTTCTCAGGARCAAGAGCAAAAGGCTGAAGAAGAAAGAATTCGGATGGAGAACATCCTGAGTGGTAACCCACTGCTGAACCTTACGGGGCCAGCACAGCCTCAGGCAAACTTCAAAGTGAAGAGGAGGTACTGTGCAGTCTGTTCAGTGACACCCATCCTCTTGCTGTCTCTCGCTGTTCAGAGTCTTTCTTTTCTGAAAGACTGAAATCTAATCCTAATGAATAGTTGTTCTTAGTACATTTTATAGGAGGGGCAAACCTCCTTTTTTTGTTCTTGTGTATTGTACCTGGTTTTCATACAAGCTTACTGAAGTTAAAAAATTTTGTTTTCAGGTGGGATGATGATGTTGTCTTCAAGAACTGTGCCAAGGGGATAGATGAAACAAAAAAGGACAAGAGATTCGTCAATGATACTCTGCGATCAGAATTTCACAAAAAGTTCATGGAAAAATACATCAAGTAGTACAGTTTTATGTGCGGTAGTGCAGAAGGACTTGGTAGGTCATGGCCATTCCCTCCCTTTCCCTCAGAATTTCAGGCTGAATGTTTCATCATGGATTCCCAAATGTTCTTCCAAGATCATCAGCAGCTTCATAATTAATAACTGCTGTGTATCTGGGGTTTTATTCCTGCATTTTGTTTTCTTTACAGTTTTCATTAAATCAGTTTGTGTCATGTTTTTTTTCTTTTCTTCATGAGTGCTTAATTTTACTGTCCACTTTGTAAATGGTAGAAGAGAGAAGCTGGTTTGCAATAAATACTGCTGATTGTTTAGATTGCTTTCCAAAATGCCCTCTATCTRTAGTGATGGTGGTTTGTAACTTATGCAACTTAGATGAATGTCAGTATTAATCAGAGATGGGGAAGAGTTGAATGARATATGCAGTGTGAGCTGAAAAGAGCTATACTTTCTGTAGCAAACGGGACTTTCTCTTAAAAGCTAATCAGAAAGTTAGTTAATCTTTGTTTTTAGTTCCTTTTTACCGTCATACAGGATACAGTTTTGGGGTGGCTCCACATTCTAAGCAACTTACCTACTTTCTGGGCTCTCTTGGCTCAGCACACCTGGCACGATGAGATGTAATGCCTGGGGGAGCCTTGAGTGGGAAATGCTCCATGGAACCGTGGGTTTTTTTCCCTCCTTAAACCACTGCAGTGCTAAATCCCTCTGTCACAAGCCAGTGGCCACAGGGTTCAGTGTCTGTGTGTGTCCTTCAATGGTAATAACAGCACCGTCAGAAACTTGCAAGTGTTTGTGTCAAGTGATACCAAGGTACCATAGTACACTCTGTTTACTCCTCTGATKTTCATGTTAGCACTTAGGACAATGTAAAACAAGAATGACTGCAAAAAAATCAAAAATGTGAAGAGTTCATTTTTTTCTGTTCTCCTGTCATCTCAGTTGCATTCGAAATCTTGGCCAAGGGATGCACTGGATAAGAGCATAACATTTCAAAATGGAGTACTTATCTCTCTGTCTAGGATGTGTCAGTAGCAGTAGCAGAAATCAGATGTGTTTGTGTAAAATTCTTGCCCTTTTCCTTGCCTGTGTTGTGCTCAGTTGAGTTTGTTCTSACAGATACTGTTTCTTACTCGTAGTATTATTTTCAAGTTCTTAATTTGGAAACTTAACCTGATTTTCTTTTTAAGAGAGTAAATGTAGAGCACAGTGTTTCRGATTTTTGTTAGGCATGACTGGTATCCTGTAAAAGCCTTCCTTAGCTTTAGCTGTATTTGCCATCCTTTCACTAAGCTATGCATAGTGTGCTAATGCCAGCAGCTAATACCCACATTTACTTGGAAACGAAATTTTTAGCATGCTTAGGGTCATGTGAGCTACCAGAGGAATATGTGTTTGTATTATTTCTGCTGCCTGCCTCATGACAGAGATGTTTCTTGGGAAGCAGATAAATGGATGTAGCTTGTAATTGTCTTAAAATAAAGCTAATCTTGGTATATAGGCAGCATGTTTAAAAGGGGAGGAAAAAAGAAGTTAAGGGATGTACCTGTTAGGGCCTGACAGTGGAGAAGCCAGCTGCTGCTTTAGGTCTGACCTAGCAGCATTGTTGTCATGGCAACAAAAAATACATTGGTCTCCCAGTATTCCAAGATCTGTGTTGAGATAAGCAACCACAGAGTTTTATTGGATGGGGAAGAAATAGTTGCAATGCCACTTTCATGCCCTCATGGAAAATCACAAGTGCATAGTGACCATCATTTCTGTTCCTGAAGTAATGTAACTTTTATGGAAAAAATAATACTTTAGAGAAGTCAGATRGCTGGGGTTGAATGAGGTCTTCCACAGGCCTGCAGGCAGCTGTTTTCCCCACCTGCAGGAAGATCCCTGTCTTAAATTTAGGCATAATGGATAGATGTGATAGGTCATTTTTCCCAGTCGCTCCCTCCCTCGCAGGTTCTGGARTAAAGACTGTAGGGACTGTATAGTCACAGGCTGCAGCTTCATTTGAGTTTTTTTTTGTTGGCATTGTTCTTCAGCTCCATCACAGAATTTGCAGATTCTATCTCTGACTTCCCTCCTCAAAGCTTTTGTATTTTAGCCTCCTGGARTGTAAGCTGACCCACAATCTGGGGACTCAGCAACACAAGATAATAATTAAGGAATCTTGAGTCCTACCTTTTGGTGGGTTTTGCATCAATAATTACTGAATTTTCTTTGCTAATACTAGAAAATCTGAAGTGCTCTGATTTTTTTGTCAGGGAAGTGCTTTCAGTATGGATGCTGTATTGATGTTTAATTTTCTACTGTGCTTCTTGCACCCATCTGGGAAAGGATAAGCATATCATTCATTTTTGTAAAACTGCAGCGTGACTGTGATGAAAGTTAACTTTTAGCATTTCAAGGAAGGCAATATTTTGCAGGTCCTAGCAATCAGGATTGTTTAATCCTGTATTATTGTAAGCAACACCTGAAACTTGCTGCARTTGGTGGATATAGACAAAGCCACTTGCTTTATAAACAGTTTCCCCATTGTTTATGGCCACCTTTGGAGCAGCATTGCAATTGAAAACTAGAGGCTAACAGTTAAACTTCTAAGGTTTTTTAMAAATCGTTGTCTTTTAAAATTTTCCTTGGAGTATGTTTTATAATTCTGAAGGGTTTCATAGTATGAGGAAAAAAACCCTAATGATAGTCCTGCAGCTGGAAATGATTGTGCTGTGTGAGTATAGAGGGTTCTGAAATGTTTGGCATCTGTCTTCCTCGAGTAGGTAGCTGAATATTACAGGCTTTCTATTGCAACCAGCAAAATTACCATCTGTGCTTTTCAGGATTTCACATTGTTAYAGGTACCATGTAGGCATTCTGTAAATGCCTGGAAAGAGTTCCATTTTAAAAATACCCAACCAAAACTATTTTGTGAGTTCCAATTTCTCTGTTCACTTGTATTTTGTTTGAAATAAAATCCTGGGGCAGGGGTGATCTGGCACTTGCTCTGTTTCCCTTGGGGTGTCTCGTGGGCAGCCCAGCTGGTGCCCGCTGTGGTGACAGCCCTGTGTCTCCTTTCACCCAGGCGGGTATCAGTTCCCACTGACCTGCTGAAATCCCTCCCTACAACTACAAATACCTAAAAGTCTTTCATGCTGGAGGAGAGATCTGAACACAAGGTCAAACCATCAAATGCATGGGGGATATTGCCTTCAAGTGCTTCACTTCAAAGAAATCTAAGAGTCAAGCCTTGAAGAGATGTGCTGATGCTAGAAGGTGCTTCAGACTCAAGTGTTTATTTGTATCTGCAGCCAGGGCTAGTTGGAGTCTTAAGCCTTAAAAAAAAATAAGGGAAGTCAGAAACACATGTAGGGGCTTCTCAGATTTTCTTTCTTTTTCATGGTGTAGTGCTCTGTGAAACAAGACTCAGGAGGCTGGAAAGGAAATACWCACAGAAACATTTCCATCCATGGAAGTCGTCATTCCATATCCTGTCAGCTTCTAGAATCAGGATTCTGGAATCTATTTGCAGCCAAGGTGGTGGCCTGGATCTTACTCCTCTTGATGGACTTGTGTTGCAGAGCTTGTTACATTCATGGAGTCAGGCATGAAGYAAAGGGGGGAAGCAATCATTTTAGTCCTGCTCTGAGATGGAAGGAAAACAGGGTTCAGGTTTTGGCTTTGCTTCAGTTTGAGTGAATTTGCAGGAGTGACCCAGGCATGAAAATCCTTCCAGTCCCAASCCTGGATCTGAGCAGAGGACAGGGTGCTGTATCCTGGCCTTGCCCAACTCTGTTCCTGATGGAAGTGAGTGTACCTTCACCCTTGCAGAGCTGAACCACTTGGAGCAAGACAAGGACCCACCTTAGAGCATAAGGTGGTCACAAGAGAGATGCAGAAGGTCTCAGTTAATATTGCCTAAGGCAGGGGATAGAGGGAGAAGTGCTCAGCATTGTTCCATTGGGTGAGTTCACCCTTCTCAGATCGGACTCCTGCAGGAGGGTGGAGCCTGGGACATGCCTTTGGCTGCTGAGATTCCTGTTAGTTCAGCYGTAGCTGCAGAGAATGAGAGCATGTCTAGATCCAGAGTGAGAATGCCTTTGGCATGAAGATTTTATTAAAATTGCACATTTGAAAGGCAGTATTTTTCATCCATTAGCACTGATCTGTCTCAGAAATGTAATTTTAATTTTACTCTTAATAGAAAGCTACTAGCAATTGCTGATTGCAAATGGAAGCATTTATGGATAAAGCTTTTTCTTTCCTTACTGCTGTAGCCCAGCTGGCTCTTCAGTATTTGTTGGTTTGGAGTAGGTTTCTTATTTAATTTCATCTTTTTTYCCCCAACAATAATTCCTTGCCAAGAGTATCAAATCTGAGAGCTGGAGTGAGTGTGTTGCAAGAAAATGGAGAGATAGCACGAASCGCCTTGGTACAAGGGAATGTGAAGAGGGATTTCACAGAAGACCTGGACTGTGTTTTGACTGCACTCAGCTGGAGGGAAACAGTCCAGAACTAGCAGATGCAGAAAGTTAAAGAAAAAAAATAAAATGGTGAAATTAAGTGAAGGGACTAGATCTGGAGATCAGAAAGAGTGTGCTGGATAAATAGGAAATAAGAGCAGAGTAACATGGGCAAAAAGGAGCTCTTCCCACTCCTGCAATGTGCTTTAGACAAAGAGGAGATAACTCACTAAGTGGGACCAGATGGATTCAATTGTCTGCTTTCCACGGCTCAGCAGCACTTGTTTCAGCTGCCCCAAAGGACGAGTTTCAGACTCTCAGCACAGAGAGTTGCTCTTTTGACAACCAGTTCAGGGACCTGTCAACAGGTTTTCCAAACCAGTCGGCAGGAAAATGCTGAGCAACGTCTGAGATTGCAGTCAATTAAGAGRCATCTGAAAGGGAGCTGGAAGATTTTAAAGCTCTGATTTCTGTCCTAGAATTCTCAAAAAACAGTGCTCTGAATAATTAATCCTGTGAGTGGTGTGGCTCTGGTTTTATCCCYGTGTTATGCTGCTGTGGTGGAGTTAGTCTTGGTCTTTGCTTTTGTAAATGGGAGAGCAACACCAAGGTGTTTCTAAATGCTTGGAATTCTTTTTCCAGCGAAATACGATTTCTAGAGTGGAAATAACAATAAACCAGAGGATTTTTTAAATCCTGGACATCCTAAGAGCCAGCCATGTACTTTCCTGCCAAGTACAGGGGGTCTGGTGGGGTGAGCTGCAGGGACAGTGAATAACTGAGTGTCTGAGAACACCAGCTGCAAATCTGRGGTGGAAAGCTGGGCACAGGAGGGGTGGTTTGATGCCGAATGGCATCATCATGGACTACCCAGAAGCTGCTCTTCCTAAGGAAACAGATTTGTCAGGAAGTTGAAAACGCCTCACAAGTTCTCATTACTGATGCAGCAGAAACAGAGGAGGTATGGGGACAGTGGAGTGGGAGTGTGAAGGACACAGTGGGACAAGCACTGTGTCATTAGCAAAACCAACTTCTGCAAGCAGGGGAGTGATTTTTTTTTTTTTCATCCAGCATTCAGTAGGCCAGAATGTATTTTTTCAATTTCATTTCATGGCATTTTATTTCCTTTGCTATCTTTTAATTTCACTCAATTTCTTGATTACTCATTTCTTTTATTTCATTAAATGAAAGCTCAAGATTTCAATTAAGGCATTTCATGAAATGAAGAATTGTCATGAAGGAATTAAGTGAAAACAATGAAAAGGAATGGAAAGAAAGGAAGTACATCAAAATGAGTCAAAAATCATGAAACGAGCTCCTCAACAGCAGACCCAAGCTTGCTTAAAACCTAGTAAGAAAAAACCARAAGTTTTGAAGTGAAGTGAAAATACTTTATTTTAGTAATTTTATTATTAATGAATATTAAATATTAAGGTAAATAATATATTTAATAAAGTAAAAAGACATTTCATTACACCTTGCTCCTTGGAGCCACCCATGTGCTGTGCAGCTCAGCAAAAGGCTGCTTTTACTGCTCTGCTGAGGGTTCTGGTAACAATCAGGTTTAGGCTTGAAAAAAACCACCAAACCTTGAGATCCAGGAACACTGGAACTACAAAAGGCATGCCAAGGGGAACATGGCACTGCCCCAAAACTGCTCCCTCTAAAACTTGTTCCTTGGCACCACATATGAGCTGGGCACCGCARGCTCAGCAGAACACTGCTTTTCCTACTCTGCTTAGAGTTAGGCTTATGATTAGRCTTGAAAAAAACACWAAGCCTAGAGCTCCACAAACACTACACCTGCAAAAGCCATGCAAAGGGGAACACTTAGTGTAATCTCATTAAGTACATTGACTTCATTTCAGAAATTTTTTTCTTTTCAAATGCATTTAATTTCWTTCTATTTCCTTCCCAGTCTGTCTGTTTCACTTGGTTCCCTGAATCAGAGATTTTATTTCCTGTTCTGAAATTAAATTTTTCATTTTAGGACATGAAATTAAATCTTACATTTTCAAGAAAACAAATTTGGCAAGCTTTGGTCCATTTCCCTGCCCTTCATGTCATCCCATTCTATTGGTTTTATTAGTGTTTCAGAATTTTTCTTTTCTTCCTTACCATTTCATTTCATCAGTTTTTTTCTCCTATCTCTTCATTTCAC